AAGAAGAAGAAGAAAAAGAAAGCAATGACGATAGGTTTATTTAACAATGTGAAGCAGTCCTGGGAAGTTGTACTTTGAGCAAGATCCGTAAGCAGGATGCCTGCGCTCCTCCAGCTAAGACTCAGCGCCAGGTCAGAAGCTGTCTACGTGGGGAGACGGAGTCTGGCGTCCCAGGCCCACAAGGACAGGGCCCTGAATATGGACTTAGCAGAAGGCAGCTGTACTAACCACAAATGCCTCCTGTGGTACCTGCCCCTCACGGTTCCCGTTGGGGACACTCAGCCATCTGCTCCATGGCTGGACTCAGATGACACAACGCCAGGAAAAAATTCAAAAGCCCCATTACCCTTTCAAATGCCTACATAAAACAGATGTCTAATAAAAACCTGCCAATAATCATTTATTATTTGTTTACATACAACAGAAGCCTCTTTTCTCGTGGGGGTTGGGATAAGGAAGATGGTGGCCTGTAGGGTTCCATGTCTTGCAGCCCTTGTCCTCAGGCCATGATCTGACCCCAGAAGGACAGGGACGGTGACTCCAGCAAGGCACTGGGCAGCCAGGTTCTGCTGCATTTGTGTGCAAATCCTCTATGCTTTTAAATTGCTCCATGCATCAGCAAAACCTTAGTTCTTAAGAAAAGGAGACAGAAGAGATTTGGACACCGAAGAGAAACAGAGCCATGCCTCAGCTCCCTGCTGGTGGGAAAATGTGCATCTAAGGTTGCTTGTCTCTCAGGCTTCCGTGCTTTTGTTTCCTCCTGCGGAGCTGCCGCTGGAGCTGGAGCTTGTTGGTGAAAAACACCTTCCTCCAGCCCACGTCCGCTGCCAGGGCCCTCATGTCGGGAGTGATGGTGTCACAAGTCGACTGGACTATCTGTTCCCACAGTTTATCAGACATGCACAGCTGTGGGTGGGAAAAGCCAGAGGTGGGTTACAGCACACGTGTGTTAAGTAAAAGCCATTTTGGCCGGGCATGGTGGCTCACGTCTGTAATCTCAACACTTCGGGAAGCCGAGGTGGGTAGATCATGAAGTCAAGAGTTCAAGAGCAGCCTGGCCAACATGGTGAAACCCTGTCTCTATTAAAAATACAAAAAAAATTTAGCCGGGCATGGTGGCATGTACCTGCAGTCCTAGCTACTCGGGAGACTGAGGCAGGAGAATCGCTTGAACCTAGGAGGTGGAGGTTGTAGTGAGCCAAGATTACACCACTGCACTCCAGCCTGGTGACAGAGCGAGACTCTGTCTCAAAAAAAAAAGTAAAAGCCATTTACTCACTCAAACTCATTATCAAACTCCTGCTGCCTGTGGGACACTGGAAGAAACACTACCTGTGCCAGACACAGGTCCTGCCTTGAGACACCTCCTCTTTGAGAAAAAGAGCCAGGCATAAATATCTAAGTGCACAAATATCTAAAGGACATACCCTTCTGCACACGCTGAAACTTCCAAATGACAAAAGTAGAGACAACATGCTCCTACGACACCGAACAACACTCCTTTATGCAAGTGAAGATGTGTTTATTCTCCACCTTCACCCCCACCCAATGCTGCCAAGTCCCATCAGTCACTGTAAACATCTGGGTGATATTTATTGGCTCTAGTTAATTCCAGTTAGTCTCTATTTATCTATTTATTTTTTTAGACGGAGTCTCACTCTGTTGCCCAGGCTGGAGTGCAGTGTTGCGATCTCAGCTCACTGCAACCTCTGCCTACTGGGTTCAGGCGATTCTTCTGCCTCAGCCTCCCATTTAGCTGGGACTACAGATGCATGCCACCACACCCAGCTAATTTTTCTATTTTTGATAGAGACAGGGTTTCACCATGTTGGCCAGGCTGGTCTTGAACTCCTGACCTCACGTGATCTGCCCATCTCAGCCTCCCAAAGTGCTGTGATTATAGGCGGGAACCTGTGAGCCACCGTGCCTGGTCCAATTCATCTTCCTATCCTATGTAATAGAATTAAAAAGTTCATCGGCACCACTTTATCCTATATAAAATAGTAGGAGAAAGGGAGAGAAAATAGTACCCACACATAAATGTATACACAACTGAATAAGGAAGAAAATCTGGGTAGCTTCTACAGTCCTGGCTTCCGCATCAGGTCACAAGGCACGAGTTGTACTTTCTCCCTCTACCATCATTCCATTTCTCTTTGTCTTTAGCCAGCACTTCAACTCATCAAGATGCTACGCCTGGTGATGTGATCCAAACCTTCTCTACTTCCTGCAAGGTGTGAGCACTTCTTGGTCTCAAATGTAGAAGATGTTCTATTCTTCTGTTAACTTTTGTCATGGCAAAAAAAAAAAAAGAATGAAGCCACATCCTTGCAGCAACATGGATGCCACTGAAGGCTGTTATCCTAAGCAAACTAACACAGAAATGGGAAACCAAATAGTGCATGTTCTTACTTTTGTAAGTGGGAGCTAAATCTTGAGTTCATCCAAACATAGGCATGATTGCTGTCCCCCCATAATGGACCACCAGGGAGGCCTTCCTGGCGCATACCCAGCTTCCCACTACACATCCTACCTTCTATCCCAAACAGCACCAGCCCTGGCCAGCCCTGTTATGCTGTGCTCTCCTGCATCCTGACTTTCTCCTGGGGAGGAAGGAATGTGTAAGTGTGATCTCGACCTCCTTACACCATTATAATCACTTCTGAACAGAAAGCAGTCACTGGCTGGGCGTGGTGGCTCATGCCTGTAATCCCAGCACTGTGGGAGGCCGGGGCAGTTGGATCATTTGAGGTCAGGAGTTCAAAACCAGCCTGGCCAACATGGTGAAACCCTGTCTCTACTAAAAACACAAAAATTAGCCAGGTGTGGTGGTAGCCACCTGTAATCCCAGCTACTC